GTCCGCCGCGTCCAAGCAAGAGTCACGCTGGCGGCCACGGAACGTCTCTGGAGGGATTACAGGGAGAGACGAGTGGGCAAGCACTTGAATCAGCAGCAGAGCGTGAAGACTGTCAGCGAGGCGGTGAAGCTGTCCGAGAGTCGCCTCGGGAACACGGGTCTGCGGAGGCTGGAGTGCCTCTGCCAGGAACTGGAGCGGCTCATCAGCAGTAGCTGGGAGATCAAACGGAGCCGCCAGTGCGCCGCCACCCGCGGGCACGAACTCCACTCCCGCAACAGGCGGAAGCGGCGGCAAATGGAGACGGGACCCGGGAGCAGATGCCAATACTGCGGGAGGAGGCGCAGACGGCGTTTGGACCTGAGGGGGAGACGCAGCAACAGGCTGCAGGTTCAGAGGAAGAGCAGCCGGCCGGGGAGCCTCGGGGGTTGGCAGAGCGCGCAGCGAACTGCTCTGGCTCTGCACCGCCCTCTCCTCACGAACAGCCCTCGACACTTCCCGCTGGAGATCCGCCATTGTCACAGGCGGACGATACCTCCCGCCACCACCACGCCTGTAGGGGCCCCTCCAGCCCCCATTGCCGCCAGGGTGAGCAGGCCATTGGGCCTGCTGCTGGTAGCGCCGGGGAGAGTTGCGCCGGCGCCGCGACGTCTCGCGCTCCTGTTGGGGCGCGGGAGAATGAGGGCGGGATTGGCGGCGGTCCGGCGACGGGGGACGAGACGGCTGCACTGCAAGGGCCGCCTGCAGTTGAGCGGGAGCAGCCGGTTCCGCGCCAGGAGGAGCAACCATCGGAGCCGGGTCGACAGTGGTGGCGGACGCCGCCCTTGGGGAAGAAGCAGACGCCGGCGCAGACACGCCGGGGACAGACGCGGCCGGTACAACGAACGCGCCAAGCGCAGGGGCAGGATGTGCAGCAGCCCCCCCAGCAGACACAGACGCCTCCGCCGCTTCCACGGGAGCAGGGGGCACAGGAGCCGCAGGCGGAGCGGGAAGAGGTTCAACATGAGCAGACGGGCCAGCCTCTGCCACGCCTTGCGGAGCCACGGGTGCGTGGGGAGGAGTCCTTTCAGAGACTGTTGTCCCGGCGTTCGGAGCATGGGGTAGAAGGGGTTTCGTCGCCGTGGTCCCCTTTTCGAGTCCCGACTGAGGCCTGGCGACGACAACCGACCAGGCGACAGCGCGCTCTGGCAACGGCTCATCAGCTCCAGCAATCACCACCATCTCGGACGCGAGGAGATCGCGGGACGAACCACGTAGCAGGAAGCGGAGTTGGCGGGGGCCCAGAGAACGGATACCAAGCGGCGGCACGTGTGGCTTTAAATAACTTACAATCAGATAATGAAGAGGACGAGCGAAGGGACCCCTCTTATAGGAGAGACGCCACGCCGGATAGCGAGGATGAAGGGGAGGAGGAAGGAGACGGGGTGAGGGAGAGCTCTGGGAGAAGAGAAGCCGGGGCCAGAACAGCACGAGCACAACCGCTCCAGGAGGCACGCACGCCGCACGATGCTGATCGGACGGTAGAGCCTCCAACATTTGCCTCACCAGCGGGACCGAGTCGCGCTCGACGAAATCGGGCCGCGAGTAGGGGGGCTGCATCACGACCGGCCGCTTCGGCCCCCCGCTATTTTTCGTCTGAGGAATTGGCGAAGCGAACAGACCTGTTCGCTGCGATTGGGGATTGGGATGTCGCGGCCTTGTGCGTCAGTCGTCAGCCCTCGCTGTCGCGGCGCTTACCGCCAAATCTGTGTCAGCTGTTCTCGCTAGTGTTACTGACGCCGTTACTGCATCTCTCCCGAAACCCGGAGTCGGAAACAGGTTGGCGTCTGCTGCTGTTTCTCCCGCGCCTGACCCTTCGCCAAACCTCGCCGCAACGACCGGACTGGCCGAAAGTCAAGGCCCGGCTGCGAGCCTTCCAACGTGGCGAATGGGAGCAACTGTACCTGGACACGATTGCTGCAGTCAACGCGCCACCCCCGCCCCGGCACAGGCCAGACGTGACAGGAGTAATCAAACGAGCCGAGGGGCTGGCGAAACGTGGCAGCCTACGATGAGCCGTTCTTGCATTGGAGTCAACGCCTGTCTGCACGCCCAGCCCCGAAGTCCTGGAGGAACTGCGCCAGAAGCACCCACCAGCTGTTGACGAGGAGGTGATCTGGTCGACACCGGAGAAGTCAACGCTTTCAATCGCTCACGCGGATTTCGCAAAGCTGTTGGGCAGATGCGAAAATGGAGTTGGAGCTGGGCCGTCGGGGATGACATTTGAGCATTTGCGCGACTCGGCGATCACAAATGCGCTGGTCAGCACCCATCTGCACGCCCTGGTTAATACAATTTTGGGAGGAAATTTGCCAAACACGGTGGCGAATTTGTTAACCGCGTCGCGCCTCATCGCCTTGGCCAAACCGGGGGGTGGCGCTCGGCCAATCGCGATTGGCGAATGCTTGACGAGGCTGGCAGCCAAGGCAGCCCTGTTAGCAATGGGGGAGGCAGCTCGCGCCTTTTTCCTCCCTCTACAGTACGGCGTGGCAGTGCCAGGTGGCGCCGAGACTGTGATCCACGCGGCCAGGGCCTTCTTAGACGCCCGCCCCGACAGCCTCGTGCTGCAAGCTGACATCAGGAACGCATTCAACAGCATCTCGCGAAAAGCCATCGCCACCGCGTTACAGACCCCCGCCCTCTCGCCGCTCCTGCCGCTCGTCAAGTTCACATACGGTAACCCGTCGCAGCTGCTCCTAGATGCAAACTTCGAGTCCGAACCACTGCGAAGCGAACGCGGTGTCCGCCAGGGGGACCCACTCGGCCCGCTGCTATTCGCAGCAGGAATACATGCCACACTTTGCGATACGGCAGACACACACCCCGGGGTGCTCTGTTTGGCGTATGCGGATGACGTGACGTTCATCGGGGAACAAAGAGACACTGTAGCAGCATTTTCGTACTTCACCAACAAATTGTCACTCCTGGGGCTCGAGCACAACCCCCGAAAATGTGCTGCGTGGAGCTCCAGTACGGTACAAGCACCGCACCTACCCCCAGGAGTGCCATTTTCAAACGACGGCGTCCAGCTACTGGGCAGTTTTCTGGGACCGGACGACGGCGCGGCTTCTTTTCTGGCAGAGCAGTTAGCTGACATGGCGAAGCCACTGATGCTCATCGAACGAACGGATCCCCAGGTCGCATCACTGCTTATCACGCGATGTATATCGAGGCGTGTTGCGTACCTGACACGGACGACGCCCCTTAATCTTCTTCCCCGCGACAAATGGAGCCAGTGGGGCATGGACCTCCTCACCACGCTCCTTACCGCCTGCGACATCCGCATGCCAACTTGCCAATCGGAGCAGACGAGGGTTTGGGAGCAGGCGTCACTGCCTCCGTCATTAGGAGGGCTAGGCATTACGAACCCCTTGATTGAGGGGGTCTACGGTTTTGCCGCGAGCTTCACCCAGGCGGCGCTGTTTCTCAACGACCTCATGCTGGGCGACGGGAATGCACTGAAGCAGGCACGGGACCACATGCTCCTGCCGCGGGACACCAGCACGCCACTTCACGTTTGGGTGAAGGGGTGTGAGGAGGCGCTGCCGACAGACGCTCGTGAGATACTGGAAAAGGAGCGGTTGGAGCGATCGGACATACGTCTTCAACACGCCCTCGGGCTGCAGGTGCACGGCAGCAGATACGCCGTGCAGGTCCAGGCAACCAGGCGCATGCGGCTGAACCCACTCCCAGGCCACACTCAGCGCATGTTTTCGCTGACGGGATACGGCACCGGCGATTGGCTGACCGCGATACCCATTGAAGCGACTAGGCGGATTGGCCCCGTACACTTCGCCAACTCCGTCAAATTCCGCCTGGCTCTCCCCTTCTCGACTCCTAAGAATTGTGACTGCGCGGACAAAACGGCTATCACCGACCCCCGCCTGCCGAACCATCTCCTGCGCTGCAGCTTGGGCAAACACCGCATTAACAGCCACAACGAGCTGCGGGATGCATGCATTAGCATGGCGCAGCACGCAGGTTTCATTGTCCACAGCGAGTCGGCCGCCCATTGCCCCATCGAGGAGCAAACTGCCGACTTTACCATGACGGATCGAAGCAGTGGGGCGGTGTATGTGTGCGATGTCACTATCACGGATCCCATAAGCACGAGGGACCCAGAGGCGCAGAAAGGCAGGGGATGGGCGGCACGGGAACAAGCTGATAAGAAGATCCAGCATTACGCCAACCGGCCAGAGACGGTTGGCTTTTTCCCACTGGCAGTCGACACCTATGGCTGCCCATGCACGGAAGTACCAACCTTCCTGAAGCTATTGGCAGACACGGCGGCTCGGCGGCACTTCAACGCCGACTCAACATCATACTATGCCGCAAAGTTCCTACATCAGTTTCGACAGAGATGGTCGGTGGCCCTTCAAAGGGCACAATCCGTGGGCCTCCTGATGAAGATGGGCGAGGCGGCTGCAGCTGAGAACCCGCCTGTGGGCGGCATTGGGCAGGAGTTGCACCTTGGAGATTGTTTTGCAGTGATAGAGCCCCTCCTAGATCTTTAGGGGGGGTATAGGGTAGGACTTGCCTTTGTGTATATGCTTCTATACCTTGCATGCTTGTACCTAGCTGCCATATCAATACAAGGACCATTAGAGTGAGAGAGAGAGAGAGACCATTGGTTACTAAGCCCTTAGCCATCCCAGCCTAATCACTTAGTGTAGTCTTAGTGTAGCCTGGTTACTAGCTGTTTGCAGCCTACTCCCCTGCTATTTAAGGGCAAGGAGCCCACTCCCATCCTCATTGTCCGGTGGTGAGTTCATTCTCACTGCAAATCCGGCGGCTCGCGCCGGCCGCCGGCCGCGCGTGAAGGGACAGCAAGTTACAATAACACTAAAGGGGAGAGATACAAGATGCAGCACTAGATAGGGCCCACAGAATAGGGGCAAGGTAAGTAGGAGAATCTAATATGGGGAACAAGAAGGCAAACACCAATGCCAAGAGGGAGTGGGGCGCTACACGCGGTTCAGCATGTAAAACCGCCGGCAGATCCAGCGCAAGAGAACTGCGAGCAAGGGCACGAGCTGGAGGGGAGACTCCTCGGCAGCCTTGGCGACCTGCCGGAAAGCCCGTGCGCCAGGGCCCTTGTTCTGATCGGGGAACTTGGACTCCAGGGGAAAATGAAGGAGGCGCCAAAGACCCTGCGCCGCCGCCTCGCGAACAACACCTTGTTGGGGCTCCGTCAGCTGAGGATCCCGGAGCACAAGATTTCGCGCCACGAAGCCGGCGTGCAGCTACTCGAGAATGGTCGCCACATGCGACATGCACTCCCCAACCGCCAACATGCGCCTTTCCCAGCGAAGAACGTCCTTTACGAAGTCGGACTGGATGTCCCACTCTCGGCCCCACAAGGTCGCGGGCTGAGGCGGAGTCTCCCACAGCTCACCATTCCACCAACACCCGTCGTCCTCGGGGTCAGGAGCGTCGGGAGGAAGCTCAGGAGATCGGGAGCGAGGAGGAAAACGAGCTTCGGGAGCGGGCCCAGATGGAACGAGAGGATGCTGCCCCTGCGGAGGCTCCACGGGGGGAAGAGATGCACGGGGACCTGGTGGAGAAGGAGGGGGGGGCACGAGGGGTGCCCCGGCCGACGACGGCAGGGGAGGATGCGCCAGAGGAGGAGGCGGAGGGGAGGAGCACGGCGGAGACGGGAGCGGGTCCAACGGCGCAAGGGGAACCGGCGACAGCCGATGAGGGGGCGCAGCAACGCCAGATGACAGCTGCTGCGATGTCTGGAGAGACACTGACTGCGACGGCGCAGTCGATGCACTCGGGCGCAAGAATGACGGCGGCGGTCGAAGGAGTGGGCCCACAATCTCCCGCTGTGACAGCGGGAGACGGGCGAGGCGGACGGCGGCGGCGGAACGAACCGCCATGTGCGCGGAGGTGGGGGAGAGTCCGCCCACGGGGAGAGTGATATATCGGCTCACGACGCCGGGTGGGCGCCCCGGCCCCCTCGTGCTCGACCAGCACAGCGGCGGCTCGGAGCAGGGCTGGCGCCAGCCCGTCTTGGCCCTTCAAACGGTTGGGAGCGATAGGGGGACCGGTCGAGCGAGCCGACCGAGAGGAGGACCGTTGATTGCCCGTCATCACAACGCCACCTGCACACACAGAGAGCCGGGGGGGATGAAAACGATGCTGCAGATCAGACCGAGGAGAGGGCGGCCGCTCTGGCGGCGGTGTGGCAGAGGCAGATGAATGAAACCAGCAGGCAGAGGGCCTTACGCGAGCAGGCTGAAGACAGAACAAGAAGCCAACGACCGCGAAACGCGGCGGGAAGCACGGCCGCGAGGGGACGCGGGAGGGGCCGGGGCAGAGGGGGACGCGTGGGGGAGTTGGCGAGAGCCGTAGCACGGGAGAAGGCCAGATCCAGAAACTGGCGGGAATGGCACGGTAGGCCAGAAGACCAGAACAGAGAGCCAATGAATGACGATGCTGGGGAAGGGGAGTCTGACTATATGGAAGAAGAGGAGGCCGAATCCGAAGAAGTGTCTGTGGAGGCTGAGGATGGGGTACCTGCTGTGAAAGAGGGCAGACGCCGACGGGGCGGACGACGAGGAGAAGAGGGAAGCAACCCGGAGGAGAGGGGACAGGTGGGCGAATCACCAGCTCAGCAGCCTGGCGAATCTGCCAACAAGGAACGCCCACCACACAAAATCGCGGATGATGACGACACATGGCGGGCGGTCGAGGGTTGGGATCTGGACCCACTGCGCGCCAGTTCCCAACCATTCCTGATCAGGAAGCTTCCCCCGGAAATCCTGAAATCGTACAGTCACTGCCTTACAATCCCCCTCCTGCGACTGTTGAAATATCCGGGCTGCATGGGCGCGTGGAGAGTGCTGCTGTTCCTGCCGCGACTCACCCTGAGGGCAAGCACGGAGAAATAACCGGGAAACGGCTTCGAAGCGGTAGAGAAAAGACTCCGCTAATTCCGAGATGAAGACTGGGGAGGACTGTACCTCCAAGCCTACACCATCCCCGACAATTCCCAGCCAAGTAGGCACGAGCCGGACCCAGAGGGCATCTGCGCGAGGGTAGAGGGGTTGGTCCGGAAAGCCAACTTGGTGAAAGCTGCGGTGGCCCTGCAAACCACATCGCTAGCAGAGACTTCGCGACAGACACTTGAAACAATCCGGGCGAAACACCCTCGGGCGGCTGTGGCGATACCAGAGGGGTTGGGGGGTTACGGCGAAACAGCACTCGCAATCGACACAGATTCGTTTCGCGACATTCTAGTGAAGTTCCTAACGGAATCGGGGCAGGCCCCAGTGGCACTTGTTTCGAACACCTCCGCGACCCAGCCCTAACAAATGGGGAAGTCTTCATTCTGCTGCACCAGGTAGTCAATCGCCTACTAATCACTTACCAGGACGCGCCACTACGAGAGCTGCTGCTACCATCGAGATTGATCGCCCTAGGAAAACCGGATGGGGGAGTAAGGCCAATCGCGATTGGGGAGGCACTTGTCAGGCTGACGGCAAAGGCGGCGCTAAGAGAACTCGCGGGGGAAACCAGCTCGCATTTCCTGCCAGTACAATACGGGGTAGCGGTTCCGGGGGGAGCAGACTGCATAATACACACGGCACAAACTCTGCTGGTGGAGGATCCAACGAGAACTATATTACAACTGGACATAGAGAACGCGTTTAACTCCGTCGAACGCGGGAGCTTCCTGTCGACACTACTATGGACTGGCAGGCTGAGCTCCCTGCTGCCTTTCGCGAGAACCCTGTATGGCGAGCCGTCAAGGCTTCTTCTGGACAAGGGTTTCACCATCAGCTCCATCTACAGCGCGCGCGGCGTCAGGCAAGGGGACCCGCTCGGACCTATGCTCTTCGCGGCGGTCATACAACCGGCCCTGTTGGCAGCGGCAGTCGCAGTCTCGGGCGTGACGGTGATGGCGTATGCAGACGACATCACCATCATTGGTCATCCAGCAGCTGCGACCAGAGCATTCACCATGATTAGCCAGGAGCTAGAGGGAGTAGGGCTGTGATGTAATCTGGCCAAATCATCGGTGTGGAGCCCGACGGGAAATACAACGGACTTACCAGAAGAACTGGCGGCAGCGGTGGACGGAGTGCAGGTCCTAGGGAGCCCGATAGGAACAAGAGCGTACTGCAGACACACGCTGTGGGGATCACTGGAACGGATAGCTCTGCTGCTAAACCTAGTGAGCAAACTACATCCACAACACGCGATGCTGCTACTCTCTCGATGCATATCGCGCAGAATCTCCTACATCCTGCGCACAACGCCGGCGGATGTCCTCCCCGTCCGGGAGTGGTGGGGGTGGAGCGAGAGGTTGCTATGGACAGCTCTGAGGGTGGCCAAACTCAATGTACCTTCGAAGGAGCTGGAGCAGAGTTTGGTATGGAGGCAGGCGACATTACCCATCGTCATGGGCGGCGTGGGGCTGATTGACCCACTGTCGGAAGCTCCTGCGGCATACCTGGCTTCACTAAGGGCGGCACAAACGCTGCTACAGCAAATGACGCCCTCACCGAACCATCAGCTGGCACAGGTGGAGGCGCTGGTGGCACCAGCGGGGGAGGGAGTGGCAGGAAGGGGGGGGGAGGCGCTGCGGGACCTGCGGAACAGACTTCCCGAGGAAGCAAGAGAGCTGCTGAGAGCGCCGGGAGACGACAGGAGAGGGAGGGGGCGCCTGCTGGAACAACTGTCACGCCACGTGAACCTGACCCGGGCGGCGGAGCTGATTGGCGACACGTGGATTGACAAGCCCGGGGAGGACAACGGACATGTGGTCCGGTTGTTCGCCTTGCAGGGGGCGGGGGCGAGGGACTGGCTCCATGCCATCCCCACACGGGCTGATCTGACGTTCTCGCCGGGTCAGTTTGCCCTGGCCCTGGGATTCCGCTTGGGATTGCAGCTGCCGATGACCAAAAACTGCCCATGTCAGGGGGAGTGGGGGGAGATCGAGGACCTGAGCTTGCCGAACCACCTGCTCCGGTGTGGGGAAGGGAAGGATAGGACGAACACACACGACACCTTAGTGTACGCGGCGCTTCACATGGCTAGGGAAGCCGACAACTACACCTTGCATGAAACCACGGTCTACTCGCAACCCGTCAACCCCAAGCGAGCGGACCTGGCCATCAAGGACAGGGAGTCGGCTGAGACGTACGTGACCGATGTCACGGTGACCGACCCCGTCCTGCAGCGCCGGGACACCAGGGCTGTGAAACCGCCGGGGTGGGCGGCAGAGGACGCAGCGAGAGGGAAAAGGGGGCTATATGAGGGGCGACCAGACTATGTGGGGGTGTTTGGGCTGGCGGTGGAAACATATGGAGCCCTGGCTCGAGACACACAGCGGTTCCTTCGGCTCTTGGGTAGGCAGGCGACTAAAAAGAAGTTTAGACAGGGTAGGCTGACCGCGGTAGCCTCCAAAATGACTGCCCACTACCGCCAGTGCTGGTCGGTAGCACTGCAGAGAAGCCAGGCGAACACCTTCCTGGCAAAGTCTAATCGGGCTGTGGAGAGTGCCTACCCCCAGGCAGCGGCTGACCCATGGGAGCCTTGCCTAGGGGACCAGTGCCATGTCATTGAGGATAACCTGGACTGGGGGCTCCCCTGGACGAGTGAGGGGTGGGGCGCAGGGGCGACTGGGCCGCGGGCTGGCATGCCACAGGGTAGTATTCAGGGTGCCTAGAGGGCTTGGTGTTGCTGGGTGGCTTGTTGGCAAATCTAGGTAGGCATATTGGCTTGATGTCTTTCCCGTTGAATCTCTCATGCTTGGCCTGTATCCAACGTAATATCAGAAGGACTGCTTGAGAGAGAGAGAGAGAGAGAGAGAGAGAGAGAGAGAGAGAGAGAGAGAGAGAGAGAGAGAGAGAGAGAGAGAAGAGCAAACCGTTGATTTCACCATGCGGGATAGAAGCAATGGCGCGGTGTACGTGTGCGATGTAACCATCACCGACCCCATCAGCACTAGGGATCCAGAGGCGATGAAAGGCAGGGGATGGGCGGCATGGGAGCAGGCTGACAAGAAGCTCAAGCACTATGCCAACCTGTCAGACACAGTGCGCTATTTCCCCCTGGCGGTCGAGACATACGGCTGCCCGTGCACAGAGGTGCCGGTTTTCCTAAAACTACTGGCAAAAATAGCAGCTCGACAACACTTCAATGCCGACTCAAAGTCATTCTATGCTGCTAAGCTCCTGCATCAATTCCGAGACTGGTGGTTTGTTGCCCTGCAGAGGGCTCAATCTGTGGGTTACCTTATTAACTCATGCGAGGCAGCTGCTGCAGAGAACCCGCCCGTGGTGGGGATAGGGTCAGAATTCCGCTTGGGAGATTGCTTTGTGGTGATTGAGCCCCTCGTGGAGCTTTAGATTGGTGCTTCTGTGTGAGCTAGTAGATGTTCGTTAGTATGTTTGTCGTAGGAACTGTTTCCCACCTCTTGCATGTCTGTTCCCTTCCCCTATATCAATACGCATGCTATTAGAGAGGTGGAGAGAGAGACAAGAAGGGGGAGAGAAAGAGAGAGAGAGAGAGAGAGAGAGAGAGAGAGAGAGAGAGAGAGAGAGAGAGAGAGAGAGAGAGAGAGAGAGAGAGAGAGAGAGAGGCCCCGGCCGCCTACATCGCTTCTGTCACGGCGGCGCACATCCTTCTGCAGCACCTGAATCTTCCTCCGGACTGCCTGCTACACAGAGCAACGGCCCTGCTCTCCCACGATTGGAGCCCACCACCGCCGGACAGCAGCACACTGTCAAGCTTAGAGAAGGGGCTGCCAGCCCAGGCGCAGGTGGCGCTGGGAGCCTACAGGACGGGGAACAAGGGCACAGGCAGCCTCCAGCTGTGCCTCTCCAAGATAATCAACCAGCGGCGGGCGGTCGAGCTCCTGGGGGACACGGTGGCGGACAGGCCTGGCACCAACAGAGGTCACGCGCTGAGACTGATAAGCCTGAGAGGGACTGGCGCGGGCGACTGGCTACATGCGGTACCGACGAGAGCTGACCTCTCTATTTCCCCTGGTCAGTTCTCGTTGGCCTTGGGCCTACGCCTGGGCATGGAGTTGCCAGTAGCTGACGTGTGCCCGTGCAAACATGACAACGCGGCGATCGGGGACAAGAGTTTGCCGAACCACCTGCTGCGCTGCCAGGACGGGGGTGATGCCGTCAGGACCCACAACGCCCTAGTCTATGCGGCGCTGCGGATTGCTAATGAGGCGGGCTACAAAACGTTTCATGAGACCTCAGCGTTCTCACCACCAGTCCTCAGGAAACGGGCAGACTTAGCTATACGGGACCAGGAGTCGGGGGCGACATGGGTAACGGATGTCACCGTGACAGACCCAGTTTTACAGAACAGAGACAGCAGGGCCCGCAGGCCGCCTGGGTGGGCCGCGGAGGAAGCCTCACAGCGGAAGCATCGGCTATACGAAGGGCGCCCCACCTATGCCGGATTCTTTGGACTGGCTGTCGAGACCTACGGGGCCATGGCGGTAGACACAGTCCAGTTCCTTCGCATGCTGGCTACCCACGCGGCGAAGACGAAGTTCAGACAGGGGCGCCTCACAACAACGGCAGCTCGGCTCACTGCACACTACCGCCAGAGGTGGTCGGTGATGCTGCAGCGCAGCCAAGCCATCTCACTCCTCTCTAAGTCCAACCGAGCAGCCGAAGCGGCATTCCCGCAGGCTGCAGGAGACCCCTGGGCCCCACGGCTAGGGGACCTCTGGCAGATGGCGGAGGATGAGTATGAGGAGCGGGAGGCTCCTGCCAGGGCGGCTTAGAGGGGCAGGAGGGAAAAGTCGGCGACTGCAGGAAAGTGAGAGGAAGCTCCGGGGGGGCAGGGGGACTTGGGTGGGGTCGGGGGAGCCACAGGACAGGAGGAGAGGGAGGTACTCGGGGTTTTGGCTCTGCTGCTAGCCGGCCCGCTAAGATGTTAGGGGACAGGGGCGTACACAAACGGCATGCCCGCTTGGCTTGCACTGCTTGGCTTGCCTTGCTTGCCCATATGCTTGCCTGTTCGCTTGCATGCTCTGTTTGCTAGCTCTTAGGTTTCCTGGCTGCCTACAGGCCCAGACAAACTAGCTACAGCCATCTCCTGCCATGTCTGTACCTCGTGACCACTATCAATACATGACTACTTGAGAGAGAGAGAGAGAGAGAGAGAGAGAGAGAGAGAGAGAGAGAGAGAGAGAGAGAGAGAGAGAGAGAGAGAGAGAGAGAGAGAGAGAGCGAGAGAGAGAGAGAGAGAGCAAGAGAGAGAGAGAGAGAGAGAGAGAGAGAAAGAGATAGCGACCTTAGCCTCCCCTGCCCTCTCGTGCCTGGTTTAAAGACTTTAGGCCCTTGTCTAGTGCCACATTGATTAGTTTTTCGCTTCGTTCAACTCTCCTAGTCTAGCGGCTCGCTTCGGTCGCTGTGGCCTTCGACAGCGCATGAGGAGTGGCAAGAAATAGGGGACGGGATGCACTATATCATGGCGAGTTACAACATAGGACAGTGAAACAACATCAAAACATACCCTCGGGCGTGCATCTACCACCATGGGGAAGCCCAGAGGCCAGCCGAAGATTCAGCCGGCTGGCAAGGGGAAAACCGTCGCTACACGACGAGCATCAACGCCAAGCTGCCGTCCATCCAGAGGAGCACAATCGTGGGATCTGAGTCAAGGTCAAGTGGAGCATGTCGCGCAGAGGAAGCCAATCGCTACAGTGCAGCCGCGCCAGGACCATCATCTCTTCCGACGCAACCCCAACTGCAGGAACAACCAAAGTATGTGCGTTGCTGACTCTAATACGCGTGCTTACACGTGGGTCACGCGCAATGAAACGCCTACGCTGAAAGCACGCGTTGAACTAATCCAGCACATTCGTCAGGTGATCGAGACACGTTCCCAAGGTCAACACACGCTGCTCGATGCAGCGCACTCCCTCCGCGGCTGGAGGGTCTTCCCTTAGACGACCCCAACAAGAGTCCAGGTTCTCGAAGGGACATGTCCACTGCCAGTCAATGTCAAAATCGCCCGACAACACCTGAGAGCAAGGGGAAGCCCAATGCATGTGCATGCGCTAGGTAGGATCACCAGCAAACACCTGCGGGAAGTGAGCTCGCAGTGGAGGAGGAGGAGGAGGAGGAGGAGGAGGAGGAGGAGGAGGAGGAGGAGGAGGAGGAGGAGGAGAAGGAGGAGGAGGAGGCGCGGTCGCTGACGGGATTACATGCGGAGGAGGCGGTGGCTGCTGCTGCTGCTGCGCCTGTTGCAGCTGCTGCGGCTACGGAGGCGGAGGAGGCGGAGGATGATGAGAAGAAACAGGCTGAGTCTGTTGAGGTACGGGAAAAGGAGGAGCAGCCACCTAAGGCGCTGATCATTGCGGGTACACAGGACGCATGAATTCCCCCGGAGGACGGAACGGTCGCCGATGAGTGCAGCAGAATGACTTTTGCTGCTAAGGACGCAGGAAGGAGTGCTCGGGGCCATGTGGGAACTGATGCACAAGCTCGCGAGGGCCACGACGCTGCCCGATTGAAGAATCATGGGTCGCTCTGCCCCTGGCCAGCTCGACGCGGCTTAGAGCAGCGTTGGCACCTTGACGTCCAGGGGCCCCCTTAGGATGGCTTCTGCAAGGGCAGATGTCACGAGAGTTAGACCATTGGAACCCATTGGTCGAAGAGATAATGGCAGCCGCCATATGAATCGGGCAAGCCCAGGCCCCACCGATGGATGGCACGCGACAACATCGAGGGATGGATAGCTAGACAGCGAGTATACTCGACCACGCTTCAGCGGAACTGACGCGCTGGGAAAGTTGGAGCTCTTTACGTAGCCAAGGAACTGCCTGGGGTTGGACGGCTGGGGGAAGGATATGCATTTCGCATATCCCATGGATTCCGGCAGAGAGGGGTTTCAAACACCGAACGAGGGGATCGAAGAGGCGGAAGAGCCTACAAGGCCCCGATGTTGCAGGCGGGGAGGTGGGCGGAAGGCACGGTGCTAGAAGGGGAAGGGGCACGACCATAGGCAGAGCGGTTGTGTTTACAAAATTGAAAACGTGGCGGGAACGCCATGGCCGTCCAGAAAGAGTGGCGCCCTTTACGAATGAGAATGAATAGAGCTCTCATAATACGAAAAGCGAGGGGGATTTTTTGTCCCCACGTTCTCAGCTATCAAAGGACATCTCGGAGGAGTGCCCGATTGGGAGACAAGAGAATTGAGATGGCGGGATAAACCCTATCAATCCGTAGAGAGCAGGATTGGCGGACTCGGTAAGTAGGGAGCAGGCGGCCCGGTCACCGTCCGATCTGGCACACGATGAGTATATGGCTGCTGGCAAGCACATGGGACGCCGCTCGACTTCAACAAGCGGACCAACCCTTTCTCGTACGCCGACTGCCACCCAAAATCTTAGAAAGCTATGCCTAATGAACCCACTCATGCGCCTCTCAAAATATCCCGACTTCCCAAGTGCATGGAGTATACTGCTTTTCCTTCCGATGCTGACACTTTGACCCTTGCCTGAGCCAATCGACGGGAGTCGGTGGGTCTCGATCGAGAGCAGGTTGCATCAATACACGCTCAGCGATTTGTAGGATCTCTTCGTCGAAGCATCCATATCTCCAACACAGATGGCCCAATACAACATCAGCCAGATGATGTAGGCTTTTTTTGCAAGAGCGGAAGGTTTGATATAAGAGACCATTATCTCCAAGGAGTTTGTCGCATTACATACGGAAGCGACACATGCGACCCTCGCAACTCTACAAACGAAACGCCCAGATACAAAATGACCTATCATAAGCCGGGTCACATGACGCACGGTTTCAGTGCTCTACATTTTGCTCCGCAAAAATATATGATTAACACTAGTTGCGTATACCGTTATAGTAAATATATTGAGAAAAGAGAACAAGAATGATTGAACTATGAAACAGTTGGGTACAAGTACTAACCCTAATTGGGTTGTACCCCTTATGGGCTACCCCACTACAGCCTACACAAAAGTATAAGCTATGATGTTCTGACACACCCCTATAGGCAAAGTGGGGGAGAACAAGGGGTCACAAGACCAGTCAAGCAAAGCAAAGCAAAGCAAGCTCAGGGTGGATCACTAAGTCACCACACATTCCGAGCACAAGTTCAAGGCCAAAAGGCCAGTTCACATGCAGGAGTACATATATATAAAAGGCTAGACAAGCAAGAGCAGGTGTATATATATATATGTAACAGTACAAGTAAGGTCAAGAGGTGAGCAAGTGAGGCAAGGCAGGCAGAAGACCCAGCTGAGTACAGAAGCGCTGATGATCACAAGGCGCAAGCGCCTTGGTGAAGATATCAGCAGTGTTGGCCTCAGAGGCCACGTACGCAAGACGCAGCTGACCACACTGCTGTAGCTCACGAGCAAGGAAGTAGCGAAGAGCAATGTGCTTCGTTCTGTGCTCCAGTCTCTGCTCCCGACACAAGGCCAGCATGGCCTTGTTGTCTACGTACAGCACTGGAGGAGAACGAGGCGGCTCTACGAGGTCAGTCAGCAGGTAGGTGAGCCAGCGAAGCTCCTGTGCAGCCATGGCTCCTGCGTAGATCTCAGCCTCACAACTGGAGCCGAGAACAGAAGACGAGCGAGTAGCCCGCCACGAGACAGAGCCGGAACCAAGGCTAAAGGTGTAACCTTGTGACGACCGCTGCGTAGCCTGGTTATCAGCCCAAGAAGCGTCTACGTGCCTAGTGAGGACCACTAGACTCTGCCCTCCAAGCACAAGCCCCATGCCCGACGTACTGCACAAGTAGCGCAATACCCTCTTCGCTGCAGCCATGAGCTCCGGTCTGTGTCTCCCAGGAGCAACATAGCGTGCAAGAATGCTAAGAGGGTATGCAAGGTCAGGTCGTGTGCAGGTCATCAGGTACATGAGGCAGCCAACAAGCTCTGGGTACGGGCCACTCGACTCTACGGACTCATTTGAAGGCAGAGCTGAGAGCGAGTGGCGAGTAGGCAGAGGAGTGGCCTGAGGCGAGGAGTACGTGAAGCCGAAGCGCTGAAGGACCTGCTGCACCATGTGTGACTGAGTCAGGGTAATGGTGCGCTGTGCTCTGTCCCGAGTGATCTGCAAGCCAAGGTAGCTGCGCAGTTCACCCAGGTCTGTGCACGTGTGTCTCTTCTGCAGCTCGGACTTCACGTGGGCGAGTCCAGCAGTGTCAGCTGTGGCAAAGACCAAGTCGTCGACGTACACGAGGATGTAGAACGGCGGCAAGAAAGTGTCGGTGCGCAGAAACAGCGACTGGTCGGCAGTAGAGGGAGCAAACCCAAGAGCCGCAAGTGTAGTCCTTAGTGTGTCGTGCCACTCACGCGGTGCCTGGCGGAGACTGTAGACTGGCCGCCGGAGGCTCCACTGGGTGCCAGGAGGAATAGACCCAGTAAAGCCAGGTGGGCGACGCAGCTAGATCTCCTCGTGCAGGCTGCCCTGCAAGAAAGCAGTGCTGAAGTCAAGAGAGTGCAGCTCGTAGTCGCGGTGAGCAGCTATGTGCAGCAGTACCCGAAGAGTGGTCATCTTCGGGGTGGGAGAGAAGGTCTGAAAGTAGTCAACTCCGTGCCGTTGACTGAAGCCACGAGCCACGTAACGCGCCTTGAAGACAGGCGGAGAACCCGACGGCCGCTTCACCCTGAAAATCCTCATGCCACTGACGATGTTCGCCCCACGCTGGGGAACCTCGTCAACGTAGGTGCCTGTGGACTTCCAGGAAGCCATCTCTGTGTCCATAGCTGCCTGCCACTGAGAGGAGTAGGGACCCTCTATCGCCTCCGCGTAAGAGCGCGGAGTCGGGATGTCAAGTGCATCCGGGTCTCCCTCAGGGGTAAGCAGTACAGACACGAGATGAGGTGAAGCAGCAGCCAGACACTGGAACTCCTCTTGCCTGTCCTCAAGGACGTCCGTGCCAAGGGCACACTCACCCCCGACGGACGGAGGACAGACAGACTCAGACTCAGCGACAAGACTAGCAGCGTAGTCTACATGACAGCGAGCAGCAAAGTCGACGAGCTCAGGAACTAGGGCAGACGCAGCAGTGGACTCAAAGGAAGGGTCAGTGACGACAGTAGCAAGGAGACGCGTGACAGTAGGACTGGCAGCACGAAGAGAGTCCGACTCCGGGCCGGTAAGAGCAGGAAGAGAAGACCCAGGAGGAGAAGGCAAAGGGGCACACAGAGGAGCAGTGGACGGACGAAGAGACATCCGGTGCGTGCCAAGGACAGGAGGAGGACGCTGACGCGAACCACGACCACTAGTGCGAGCAGCACGGACAGGCGACGCAGGGCGAGACGCAGGCTCACGACGCTTAGCAAGACCTCCAGTAGGACCAGTGTAGGGAGAAGGAGCAAGCAGTGGGGAGGCCGGCTCTAACTGCGACTGCGACTGGACAGGCGGTGGACCCTCTAAGAGAGGAGGAAGACCAAGAACCTGCTGAAGGAGCGGAACGAAATACGGCCGAGGCCGCGCGGCGACTCCAGACACAGGAGGGACAGCACCAGTACCCCCAGCGGCAGCACCAGCGCCAGTAGCACCCCCAGCTCCAGTACCTCAAGCAGCACCAGTAGTACCCCTAGCAGGACCGCCTCCAGGACCGACAGCAGTAGCCTCAGCGCCAACACCCTCAGCAGCTCCAGCTCCACTCGTACACGTAGGCCCAGCAGCTCCAGTACTCCCAGTACGAGCACCTCCGGGACCCGCGGCACCAGCACCCTCAGCAGCCGAAGAACCTCCAGCTCCAGCAGCACGCCTCCAGCGCCGGGCAAACCACTCGCGCAGCTCCTGTGGAGAGAGTGGCTCCCGCCGAGACGAAGCACCCGGAGTGAGAAGAAGTGAACGAGAATGAAATGACTATGAACGAAGTGAGTACAAATGGGAAACCCTGATTGGGTTGTACCCCTTATGGGATACCCCACTATAGCCTACAGAAACAAGTAAGCTATATGTTCTGACACACCCCCATAGGCAAAGTGGGGGAGAACAAGGGGTCACAAGACCAGTCAAGCAAAGCAAAGCAAAGCTCAGGGTGGATCACAAAGTCACCACGCATTCCGAGCACAAGTTCAAGGGCCAGAAGGCCAGTTCACATGCAAGATCATATATAGAGATATACAAGAGGCAAACAAGCAAGAACAAGAGTATATATAGGCGAAGGTACAAGCAAGGTCAAGAGGAGAGCAAGTGAGGCAAGACAGTCACAAGACCCAACTGCGTGCAACAACGCTGATGATCACAAGGCGCAAGTGCCTTGGTGAAGACATCAGCAGTGTTGGCCTCAGAGGCCACGTACGCAAGTCGCAACTGTCCACGCTGCTGTAGCTCACGAGCAAGAAAGTAGCGGAGAGCAATGTGCTTCGTTCTGTGCTCCAGTCGCTG